AGAGAGAGAGAGAGAGAGAGAGAGAGAGAGAGAGAGAGAGAGAGAGAGAGAGAGAGAGAGAGTTTTTTTTTTTTTTGCTTCGCGCTCTTTTTTTTTTTTTTCCAGTTTTTTTTGGATGCAGTTGCCAGCGCCGAGCGACAAGCGGCGCCCCTTGGATCCCGACGCTGAAGGCACAAATCGGGACATCCACCCGCCGACGAAAGTCGGTCGGCAGTTGCCCAACGGCCGCACAGCGGGCTTCCAACGGCCTTTCAAAGACCATTCAACGGACATTCAACGACCGTTCAACTGTCGTTCGATGGGAATTCAACAGACTTTTAATGGCGTACAACGGGTTGTGAAGTCGTTGAACGGGGTTAGACGACGTCGTACAGGGGGTTGATACTTGGAGAAGGGGGCGGGGTGCGGGACAGGGCAGGGTGCGGATATGACCTTGCTTGCGGCGCAACTGCGGGGGTAGGGGCCCTGGGGGACCTTGGTCAACGCGACTGAACGGTCGTAGGGTGTGCTGCACAAGAGGAGGTGCTCACATCCGGAGGGGCGCGGCTTAGAGGGGGGTTCAAAATGCCGCGAAAACAAACCTGTGAGCATGAGCCTGCGCCGGAACATGTGCAACGGGATTATAGGCACAAGGCTGCGGTGTACCGTTACATTGTTGTCGGCCTGAAGGTCGACAACAGGGGGGTTAACATGCTTCGGTGCACCTTCTGCAATATGGTGTTCCAGGGGACCCAATACTACGCATCGAAACACTTCACGCAGGCAAACTATTGCAAGAAGGTGTCCGACGAAGCATTGTTCCAGATAGTGCAAAAACGCATACACCGCTTCGAGGGCGATAAGGTGGAGAGGGTGCGAGGGTTTGCATAGCAGCGTGGTCTCGATGTCCCGCAGTCTGGTGCGATGGGTGGCGAGGCGGAACGTCCTGCACAGGGCGTGGGCGAGGGAGAGGATGCCCAACGTTCTGCGGAGGGAGATGTTGCGAGAGATGGGGAGGGTGCGGGTGTCGCGGAGGGGGATGAGGCGGACTTTGACATCGACGTCCACGTGGCTGAGGGGGAGCGAACGTCGAGGGGAGAGGGGGCTGTGCCCGAGTTCGATCCGCTGACTTGTCAGAGGACGGTGGACTGGGAGCGGAGCTACGGGAGGAAGCCCGTCCCGCCTGAGACGACATGCACGCCGGGATCTTTGAGGAGTGCTGGTCCGGAGACGGTATGCACGCCAGGCTCTTTGAAGAGGAAGGACGGGGTGACAACTTTCTGCCACCAAGGCCGGGAAGAGGCTGCGGCAGCAGAAGGTAACAAACAATTACGGTGGCGAGTGGATCGGTCGGTGGAGGAAGGCATTTTTTCGCTGGGCGTATTCCAGCGGTATTTCCTTCAATGTCTTCCGCAACATCCAGTGGAGGGACTTCCAGCAGGTTGCTCTTCAACAACCTGGTGGAGGACCTCTTCCCGTGCTTCCTTCCCACAGTGAGATCGCAATTATGCGAACTGTGGAGATCCACCGTCAGGAGCTGGCCGAGGAGTTGGAGGAGGTGAGGCAACCATTTTGGGTCAATGGCGCCACCCTCCTCTCTGACGCGAGGAAGTCACGAGACGGGGGACCGATCGTGAACTTCCTCCCAGCTGGGTCTCGAGGGGTCGTCATGTACACGACGATCAACCGAGAGGGGGAGCCGGACGGTGCGGTGCACGTCCTGCAGAGATGGGTCACCATCTTTCACGGTTTCCGATTCGATGGCCCACAACGGGTCAATGCTATATGCACTGACTCCGCCTTTGCATACGTGGGGTCCGCTAGGGCTTTGGCCTCGCCATCTATGCCCCCTTAGCTGAGGAGGATCACTTGGCTCCCGTACTGCGTCCATGTCTGCAACAAGTTGTTGTCAGATACTGGCATGATCTGCACGTCGCTTGTGGACACGATCGCGCGTGCCCGAGTTTTGGTAGTGTTTTTCAAAACCCACCAGGCCGCCCTCAACTTCTTTCGTGTGCGCTGCGGGGCGCTGAGTCTCGTTCTTTCATGCGAGACGCGATTTGCGTTCGTGTACTCCATGTGGGAGAGGCTGCTAGCAGAGAGTGCAAACGGGTAACCGTTACCCGTACCCGGCCGTGCCCGACTGTAACCGCCAGGTCACGGGTGGGTATGGGTACCCCTTCTGAAGGGGGAGGTGGGTATGGGCAGGCACAAACAAAAGGTGGTGGTTGTTAGGGCGGGCACAGTTGCCCCTTCGGGAGATCATGGGCGGGTAGGGGCAGGTAGAGGTAGGGGTAGGAAAAAAAAAAAAACGGGTATGGGCGGCCAGAAAAAAAAATAGACAGGTA